TCCCTCATTTCCCCTACTCGTTAATATAGGGGTGACCCAGGGCATAGTCTTTAGACTTCTCTTCTCTACTTAAATTTTCTAGATGACCCCATCTGATCTCAAGGCTCTAAATCACCTCTATATGCTAAAGACTCTTTATAGTTATTTAGCTCATATCTCTCCTATATCTAGGCTCAATCCCAGCTGCCTACTCAGCATCTCCACTTCTTTGTCTAATTAGTATCTCAAATTCAGCATGTCCAGAACTCAACTCCAGATTTTATTCCTCAAATCTGTTCTTCAGTCTTCCCCATATCAGTTCATAGATACGCTATCCTTCTAATTTAGTTGTTCAAGCCAAAACCTTTGGAATCCTCCCTGATACCTCTGATTTCAATCCACCAGGAAATTCTGGCAGCTCTACCTTTAAAATATATCCAAATCCAACTACTCTTTACCACCCCACCATTACCACCCTTGTCTAACCCACTATCATCTCTTCCCTGGATTATTGCAGGAGCTTCAATAACTTGCTTCTCTGCATCTGCCCTTTCCCCTTCAATAACTTGCTTCTCTACATCTGCCCTTGCCCCTTCAGTGTTAAGTAAATTATTGAATAAATCATATGACTTCTGCTCAGAACCTTTCAGTAACTTCCCATCAATGACTAGGAGAGCCAGAGCTGGGCCTAAGGACAGGCAGGCCAGAGAGTAGGAAGGTAGTTTGGGCCTCAAACTTGAAATATAAACATCCTTTGGCAAATGTACCAAGATATAACCCTGAACTAGATGCGGGAGAAGACAGAAGGAGCTATGGCCCTTTCCCTTGGGAATTCACAGTTCCCAAGCTTTATAACTAAGTCCACTAACTCCTACGAAGCACATGCAATGCTTAAAGAACTGGATCTGGTGCAATGAACCATGCCTTCAGGGGACTCACACCTCTTTTGAGAGGCACTAGCCTCCACACCATTCACTAACTTTCTCAAATGACATCAGGCTATATGAACACTTAAGTGAAACAAAGCAACAAAAATGAATATAGGGAAAGGAAGACAGAACTACTTGGGGTAGCTTGAGTAGAATTCAACAAAGATGAAGGGAAAGTTTTACAGGCTGTGGATTTGGAGAAGTATCTCTCAGAGAATCAACAGATTTGGCAACTGGGATGTACAAGCAATAGGGGCTAAAGAGAAGTCATATGAATAGGCCTAGACTGAAACAATCAAGATAAATGGGAATCAGAAGCAAAGAGCAAGAAGCAACTGTCGTCTGAGCCTTGGCCTCTCTGCCTGCCTAACAGCAGTTCCTTACCATGAGATTGCCCTGCCATGGTTCTCTGCCTTCCTGCCTTGTGGCCAGGCTCTGCTCACATCATGAACAAGCGCCTGGATTAACCACAGGCATGGCAGCAAACACTTGTTCATAAAAAGAGTAAATATAGAAGGCAGCAAGTCAGAGACAAAGCCAGGCAGGTTAGGTTGTCCACTACCTCCCACCCTGGTGTTCTCACCTCCACTCAACCAGGCCATAGCATTTCAGACATCACTAGCAATCGAGGTGCTCCAGGCCAGCCGGGGAACTGAGAATCTGCAAACTCCATTTGTTGCCTAGGCTCTGCTGCTGGCTCTCTGAGGTCTCTGGCAGGGTCTTTTTCTGGTCTCTGAAGCAACACAGATTCAGTGTGGCTGCACTTACCTCTTCTTTCCTACCAGGCAGTTTTGTGTAGTGGTTAGGAGCATGGCCTCTGAATCCAGATTGCCTAAGTTTAAAGCTCAGCTTTGCTGCTTACTAACTGTGTAACCTGGGACAAGTTACCTAACTGTTCTATTTCAGTTCCTTTATCTGAAAAATGGGGAGAATGTACTTGCCTCCTAGGGTTCGTGTAGGATTAACCGAGTAAGATATGTAAAGTACTTAGAATAGTTCTTGGAACTTAACATAGTAAGAACTATATGAATGTTAACTATGATAATTTTTAGCATCATTTTTATTGAAATGACTTCTCATGCTGTTATGTTTGGGGGGGACTGGTAGGAAAGAAATACTAAGAGATAGAGGTATGATCAGAAGCCTAGCACTGGGAGTAGGGAGCTGAGAAAGACACCCCACAGGGTACCACAGAAGTATGGAGAGCAGTGCTCAGGGCTGTAGCAGTTGACTGTGCTCAACTCAAACCCTGAGTTAGAGGTCCACAACAACACATCACCCCCACCTAAGGGTGATAGACCCCTCGCCTCAGAGGTCCATGGCCTGCCTATGAGCCTTAAAACATTAAGGCTGCTTCTTTTCTTCCAGGACCCCAAGGAATTATTCTGTTCCTTGGTTTCTCTTCCCCAAACCAAGAGGCATCTAAGAGATATATAATCATGGTAGAGGACCCAACCACTCAAAATCACCAGGGCAGATCAGCAGGGGTCCAAGGGAACTTCCTAAGCCCAATGTCCTCTCCTAAGCCTGTGGTCCAGGCCTGATCACTCAGCTGTCCCTCTTGGGGCAAGAGGCCCCAACCTATTGCCTCATTTCTTTGAGCCTCCCAGACCCTAGCCCCGTGCAGAGCCCCAAAAGGAGACTAAAGGGTTTCTGATAAAGCCCACACAAAGCTGTAGGAAGGAGATGAGTTCCCTGGCCAAGGGTGTACAGAGGGCAGGGGAAACTGCCAGAATTGGCTGATACCCACCCTGGGCTAGAATGCAGTTTGGCAGGCACCTCAATGGAAAGGGCCCACAGGTCTGCTGAGTGAGGCTAAGCTTAAGTTGCCTAAGCCTCTTGAAGTCAGAGTCTGGGAGGAGCCAAGAGTTCTGGGAGTGTCATTTTAACCCTTTCCTCTCAGGAATCTGAACTTCTGAGCCTTCTCACTGGCAGGACATGTGTTCAAAAGGTTGAGGAGTCTAGTCAAGACTCTTCATTGCCTTAGGCGGGAAAACAGCCCTAGGGTGAGGGGTGACCCAGGCCCTGTGGAATGGGTCTGTTGTCTGGGAATGCTTCTCAAAGGAAGGAGAGGGAGGGAGGTATTAGGTGGTGGTGAGGAACAGAGGGAGCACATAGGTAGTGAGACCCACATGACCAGAGCTCTAATGCAGTAATAGAGTGTGAGCTCAGAGCGTGGACCCCAGCCATGCTGCAGCTGGGCTGGCTGGGTCAGATTTAGGGTTTGCATCTCAGGACTGAGCCTCTGGTCTCTGTGTCTTGTCCCCACTTTCCTCCTGCTCTAAGCTACAGCCGAGTTTGTTGCTCTCTTTAGCACCAAGTCCTAGTCCTAGTCCCAGCCTTCAGAGAGGTCTCTGGGAGCCACCCCAGGGGAAGGCAGCCAGCCAAGGGGGTGAAAGTTGAGCAAGGCAGGCAGCTATACTGAGCCCTCAGCAATCTGTTGGCAAGTCCACCTAGCCATCCAGAACCAGATGGCTGTTTACTTTCAGTTTTCAGCTCTTTGGAACATGTTGCTTCCAGCTCCTGAGTCAGTGTTTATGTCACTTAAGAGAGCCTTCTCAGGAAAAGAACAAAACTTCAGCCCTGATGCCAGGCCCAGAGGCTCATTGGGTAGGGGTCAGTGGAAGGGGAGGAGAGCTTTGCCAGGCCTTCTAGGGTTATGTGTTTTGGAGCAGCAACCCTAATGAAGAAAGAACATTTACTACTAATCAAGATGATTTTTAAACCTTTTTAAGGTCAACAAAAGCCAAATGATGTTGAGGGTGTGTTCTCTGTCCTTACACACCCTTCCCCTGCTCTGCACACAGAGCCCAGCCCTGTTCTCCTCCTGGTCCCTGAGCCTGGCCCATACATATAAGGTCGCTGGGTCTGGTGTGGGTGCTGGGAGGTTGGCTGAACCAGACACTCTCAATTCAGCTCCAGGGCAGATGTTGGCCAAGCCAGCAGATACAGACCTGTGCTCATGCTGTTCCCTCCAATGGAATGACCTCATTCCCACCCCCAGCTCTGCTGAAACCCTGCTCATCTCAGATCCCACCTCTGTGAAGCCTCCCCTGCCCTTCCCAGCTATTGATAGTTGCTCCTTTCTCCAAGCTCCCAAGATGTAGGCCTCATCCCTGATTGTTAGGTAGGTCGGCATCTGTATCCTCTCTATCTAGCTTGAGTCAGCCCCATGAAGACAGGAACCAGGCTACCTATTGTCCTTAAGAATTGATCAGGTTGAGTAGATCTTAAGCGTCTCAAAGGTATGATGAATCACCAACAAAGAAAGGTCTTTTGATGGTCATTTTCATGAACTGACGCACTTGGCCCTTCCAGTCATGGAGAGCAAGACCCATCAGAGCCTCTCCAAAACAGAATGTTCCTCCTCTGGCAGAGAGGGCACAGAGGTCAGTTTTAGGATTTGAGATAAAGGACCGTGCTCTCAGGCTTGTTTTCCCATCTGAGAAATAAAAATCACCTCCCTAGTCCCCTTTCACTGTAGCAGAGAAAGAAATGTAAAGTAAGGTAGAGCTGGTGACCCAGAGGACTGGAATGGAACTTGGTGTCACTCCTAAATCCTAAATAGCTCAGGAAACAACAATCTTGGATCTTGAGAGTAAAGAGAGGTATGCTGAGGCTTAAAATGCTGCAGAAAGGATTTGACTCAACTAAGACTTGGCACATGGTGGGCCAACAACCACAGGCTCCAGAGTGAATGAATGAGACGTTTGCTGCAAGAAGTAGTTTCCTCCCCATCCATTTTAAGCTTCTGGTCACCATGGCTTGATGGTACCCATTCGCTGGTCTAGCAGCTGCCAAGCTCCTGTCTCAGACCTGGCCCAGTTAGAGTCACAAGCGTCAAACTCAGTCCATGCCCTGCAGTAGCACCCAGTCTGGAAAGGGAAGGCAACAAACAGGCAGTGGCTGGGCGGCTGGCTTTCTCTGGCCTGAAGCATTATGGGATGTGGGTGTCTCCAATATTTTAGAGTGAAGAACTGCATACACTAGCACAGGGTGGATTTCCTTTTCCTGTTTTAGCCTAGGC